AATGAAACATGAAAAACATTTTCGTGGAGTAGTTTGAAAAACGTGGATAACTAAAAACACATGGTCGCCAATTTGTAGTGGCTAGACCTACAACACGTTCAAAAACTTATTAAAAATGCAACGAAAACTTCAAGTGTTGAGCTAACTTGCAATAACCAAATCATCGCACTGCGCTAGTGGAATAGTGTGGAAAACTGTATAAAAATGACAACGAAAGTAAACTGTTCGACTCACTAGATCCCCACGATCATTGGTTGCCGTAGTCTGAGAATTGACTTGCTGAAGGATTGATTTTTAACGTTGGGATCTCAGTTCGTCTGTCCAAAGTCGGAATAGGTGCAAGGAAACTCGCGTTCAAATCACCCTCAGTTGATTGTGAGCCCAGAGATGATCACCAGAGAATGGTGTCGTTGACGGGCAAAAACAGCAGAGACAGTTGAGATGGTTTGCTGCAGGAAATGCAAGAGAGTGAGCAGGAATGCCCAGAACACGCCACGTGCGGTGGTAGCCAGAAATGAGTGTATTTCGGAATGAGGTCGGAAAAAGCAAAAGTGCGTAAGATTTAAACCAAAAAACGTATCTGACTGAAAAGCACAATGATAGGAAAAGGGGCTACAAAAGTGACTTAGGCGTCGGACAGTAATTAGAAACTCCAATCAATTTTTTGACATTGAAATCCCTCAAACCGGATATTCAGTTGGGCTCTTCGAAACATCAGCAGCAGGAGAACTATTCTCCGTTGAACTGTTTTATAACTGAGATTATTGTTTTGAAAAATGCTTTGCAGAATATAAACCGTATTTAACGCAAACATAGGATATATTAATTTGTTGCAGTCAAGGAATGCAAGCGTCAACATTATGAACATCTTGGTTGAATCAGACATTCGGTGGCGGTAATACCAGCAAATTTCCACGACCCGTATCACGTTGTTATCCCGATATCTACTGCCTCTTCGGCTACTGCCAGTAAAAACGGACATTATAGTTCCTGAGACCTAGTTCTGCAACCAGTAATTGGTAGACTCTGTTTTCAAAGTCTCTACTTGTGCAATTTTTCAGCTACCACTACACATATGTACAAATAAGGCACTCAAAAGGTAATTTACCTACATATCCCTCAATATACTGATACTAAATACAGACGTCTTCGGTTAAGCATATAAACATGCACGCAACTGACTATGAATGCCCTTCA